GCACTACCCGACGCACATCTGCTCACAATCTAACAGTGGCTGTCATGTCAAACTGGGTTAAGCAAAATCGCATATCCTACCAAGCCTTGTTGAAGTTTGGTAGCTGCAGCTAACATAAAGATGTTGAAGAATGTGTGGTCGGGCAAATGTGCCTCGGTGGTGTAGTGGTATAGCACGTATCGCCGGTTAGAATGAAACGCAGGTTCGATGCCCACCTGAGGCCGTATTTTTGCCTCACCACTCAATTCCCTTAGGCATATAAGTAACATCACAACATTGCGAAAAAGCAGTAAAATACTAGAATTTCAAAAATAACTATCAGACTTAGCGAGTTTTGGGCGACTTATTAAGAAACACTCAGAATGAAAAAGTTATTATCCACGTAGAAAGTCGTATAAAACCACTTCGGCCATTGACCATATCATCGCTATTTCTATTCTTTGCTTTCAAACACCTTATTTGTTGTTTTCAAAAGAGGAGCAAAAAACAACAGCACGACTAGGAACTGACTCAAGTCTCCTGCTCTTTATTACTCACTTTTGATGAACTGTCAATGTGAAAGCAAGTTTAAACTTCTTCCATATTAATTGAAAGATTGCTTTCATTAAAATTGAGACGATCTCTCCTAGAGCCTTGGGTTTTTGAACTGAAAGCCAGATACGCACGACAGAATGATATTTCGATCTGTTACTGAGGATTTTATCTTATCTTACTCATATTTAGTCATATTTCAAATCATGCATGTCTTTATTTTTATGTCACAAATTTTCGTCTCTATTCATTGCCGCAAAAGAATAATAATTGAGAATTCAATCGCATTATCAGTTTGTGGTTCTGAAATCAAGTATCACGATATAAATCTTGCACTTCTGATGCGTTTCATTTCATGGAAACCCCAAATTCATTACGTTGATTGAAAATGAGAAAACGATGATTTGCTGTCAAAAATAATAATGTACACTGCATGCGATGCTATTGTCATCATTAACTCTCACCATCCAATGACGTAGAGTGGTTGTGCGAAACTCTTACGTCAGGTGGGACTCGAACCCACACCACTCCGACCTCTCTGTGGACGCGTGCTCCAGCAGCTACTCTAACGACGCCTTTTTGACAACACTCATTCTACGCTAAAACATATTTAACTATCATCAATCAACCGTCAACGATATGACACTGGTGGTATAACATCTATCACAGCTCAAAGCGGTTAAATCAATCGGTCTTGGGAAGTGGTTACAAAGCTTCCCTCCTTGGAGAGCTAGTCCTCAATACATAGCACAAGTCTCGAAGAACTCAAAAATGTGCTCACTTTTTGAAAAGCTTTTTCCATGACGCTGTAGAGGAAATAAAAAGATTCGTGATTTTAAACATTGTTGGACAAAGCCTTTTCTTTAGACTATAAGTAACCACTTGATGCCGTAAGTTTCAATGATTCCCACGTTGTGCTTATTTTCTCGAAGTGCCGTTTAACAGGGAAAATCTATTGAATTTCACATTTTCGACGACTTTGTTACTAGATAATTACGAAGCGGAGGCTGGGCGGAGCCAATCAATCGTGTTTGAAAAATTGCTATTCAGTGGAAGATATTTCACCTCGATGACAGAAACTTCAAATAAAAACGTATGATTCTAATCATCTGTATCACCTGTGGCCCCTTGATCGTTGAGTGACTCGAGCGGGTAACAAACAAAACACTTCCGATTTATCCCTATCGCCGTGCAAGAGTAGCCCAGTGGGTCCTCCTCGCTCTAGGATTTTCTGAGCATCAATATTAGAATCTAATTCTACGAAAAACTACTTTAAACGCTAATATGCTTTTCGTGCTTCCAGAGAGTTGTACGACGTGATAGAAATGAGGCGAAAGGAGACTAAGAATCACTAAAACTTTATTCTGGATTTTTACAGTGTTATGACAAGGGCGTTATGAAAGACGGACAACGCTGGAGCTGTAGCTAGAGATCTGAGATTGCGAATGATTACTGACACTTCCATGAGAATTTCCTGACCAGATAATGATATTGGTTTACAAATTTATCACCGTCTAACAATTCAAGTTCCAATTTTCATTAGCAATCATCTCAGTTGCTTTTAGGTAAAAGTACTAAGAATAAACTACATTACAGTTTGCGCTCTGATGTGATTTAATGCGTTGCTGTGATTATCGAACACCTATAAAATTTACCAATTCTTGCTATCATAATGCTACAAATATTATCGGTTTATTAAAATGTTTTCTAAAAGACATAATATTTCAAATTTAGCTTCCGCCGACAGTGGCCAATGCCGAGAAGAAGTGCAATCTAAATGGGCCAGTTGCTAACGCTCGAACCGCTCTACTCACTACATTTTGCCACATCGTTCTCGACCAATTCGCCATGATAATGTTCGTAGTCTAAACATGTTTTTTTAGAGAATAACATTTTTTTAAAAAGGAAGCTGTTCCAAACCATCAGTGTTCCAGAGATCATCAAGTGTTCGTTGGGAACAGCTGTTATTGTCACCTCATTGCCGCCGTTCTTTACTGGTTTTCTTACACGACATGGCCCCCATTACATTAGTGCAAATTCCCGTCACTGTATTGCTGACGACTATGCAACCGCTTTGCGTCTCCTGGACTGTAATAACTTCATGGACTTGACAACACACATTCTCCTACTAGAATAAAATAGAAAAAAACTAGCCATAATACTGCCGACTAATACTAGATCAGTTTCAAGGAGGATAGGAAGCTCGTTCAAAAATTAGTTTCAATGTGAAACCTCTTATCAGTGCCAATATGATTGTTTTCTTCAAATTCTCAAGACATTTGCACTACTTTCTCAAAAGTCGTTTTTTGTTTGAGAAAATGATAGAAGTATTCTAGCTGCCCAAGTGTTGTAATACTTTTGCTTGTAGTTTTTTATACGAATTTTCGATGTTGAAAACCCACGCATTTGCTCTGGGCTCACAACCATCTGCACACGACATTGAATTGTAAGTGATTTTAACTTCAAGCTGGTCTAGAATACCTCGCGATTATAGCATCAGGCAAGATGTGCACTGCGACCTTGGCTTCGAGAACGTCATTGGACCTACATCGAATGCTTTTTTTTCAATTCAAAGAATTTACTCGGAACTGGTTTTGAATAAAAACGTGGAGTTATACAAATCATGTTAGCATTAAAAGGCGTGAAATGGCAGAAAACTGGAACCTACTATCTACGTCTTTTCCAAATCCGCTGAACAGTAGAAAACTCTTTAAGTGTATAATTTGCAAGCTCACTGTTTGCATTACAAGGCGTAATACAAATGCCTGACGCTCCATCCATGTCAGAAGCGAGGAGAGAAAACGGGGCACGAGCAGAGGCATCGCTAGAGTAGGCCATGGCAACAGGCAAACTGAAACCGGAGACGTTGAAGGTCCTTGTACTCCAACCAACGAAACTTCGTCATCTTCTTCAGCAATTATCAAGTAAATCACTCGGTTAAATGATTCCTTAAGTAGGCTTAATTTTATACTCAGAATTCGTAATCCTCTCACCAATTAGAATCGAAATAGCTTGCATACCAATGAAGTGTTAGATATAATCATTCTAAATGGTGTTTTTGAGCTTCTGCTCAAAACTAGAAACATTTGCTGCAAAACGTCAATAGACTGTTCCTAACCTTGACCTGGTGGCAATACACCACATCCTCAACGTTGTCGCTGTTGTGGCCAGCACGCCAAATCCAAAATTAGTCGGAGGCTTCACCATATTTGTACGTTTTATTTCTGCCTCCAAATTGTCTAGGCAGTCACTTCAAGCTTAACGAATAACAGACTTTTCGACTTAAACGTAGGTAAGCCACAGTGATAGCTCGTTAATCGATTCGCGACGGTGTGTACCTGTGCTGGTGAACGACTGTTTGAGAGTCTTTGCCAGTGGGCAGAAATTTTCTTTCTACTTTTAGTGGTTATTCAAACGTTCAAATCCCATCGACTTTAACATTGTGCTACTTTCATAAACCCCGCCCTTTTCCCTTTCCCTTTCACCCTCCTTCTTAAGCTTTGTAGCAGCAAAAATATTGTGATCGACCACTCAATTTATATTGCTTGTTCATCTGGGGTGCGCGATGGTTCTCTCTAATTTTTGGCAGCCATTCAGTGATTCAAATCCAGCATTTTTGATGGTAAAATGATTTCCAAAAAAGATTCATTTATGCCGCTGTAAGATCGAAAAGAAGATTACGTTTTGCACAATTCAGTTCCCCAGTCCGCTGGAGCATCTCATAGGGATAATTGGCACTCATAGATATAATTTATGGGTTAGAGGTACTTAAATGCTCGAACAAAAGCATATCACCAAGATCTTGCCAGGTTATTGTTGTGTAAAGAATGACCCACGTGCTAGACTAGTGATACGCTTCCTTATACGAAACACATTCTTGCATTAAAGAATCTTTCTTCAGTTGTTATTGAACTCCTTTTCTTTATTTCGTTACGCTTATATAGTAAATTTGATAGCTGCGAAGATGCTGATCTCTGAAACGAGGCTTTTTTTTTCTCCCTCTTTTCCCTTTCCTCTCGTTTCGTATCATACTTTTCGTATTCCATATGGATGATACGAAAGGAAAGGGAACAAAAAAAGAGAAAGAACTGTGAACTTCGCAACTACTTCTTCCCCACCTTGAGCTCTTCTAATTTCATCCCAATCAAGTGTTCGACTGCTTGAATAAGCACGACATCGTATTGAGTGACGAATGTTAGAGCCGAGCCATATCTAAATATATTAACTGAGTGCAAAATCTTATATATTGCAGCAGAACTCACCTTCCTGCTCGAGCTGAGCGACCGACTCGATGAACATAGGTCTTTGGGGACTTTGGAACATTATGATTTACGACTAGGTCCACCTTTAAAGATACTATTAGGTAGCACTGAGAAGTGAGAATGAGGTATGCCATAGAAGAAGGATTAATGATGTACGTACGTGGGGTATATCGAGTCCTCGGGAAGCAACATCAGTGCAGATCAGTATACGGAGTGTCTTCGATCGGAATGAGGACAATGTCGCAATGCGGAGGCGCTGTGGAATTTGAGAATGGAGCGAACCGACCTAAACACTTCCAGAACTTTCTACCACAGTACATCGACAAAAAATCATAAACTAGTTTGAGAAATCTGTGGATAGATAAGGCTATTGGCCTTGATCACTCTTTGTAGGTTGCGATAAGCATTCGACTTCATCAAGCATCGTTAG